GACTATAAATTACTCTCGCCCTTGAAATCATGTTATTACTTATACCAGGCTGCAAGCAAGAGAAAAACAAGGAAAAATTAAGCAATTTTTTCCACATTTTCAACCCTATCCTTCCAATTACTTAAACCTACCATGTTCCCCATCCACTCTCTAAGTTTCTGTGATATTTCTCCAAATGGTGATATTTCTCCTATTTCAACATGTCTTGCAAAACAATGCACATTTTCAGGCACTGTGCAAAGGATTGTGCAGTGCTGAAAATCGCTTGATTCTACAATGGCATGAATCAAGTCCAGAGTCTCACTTTGAAGAAGAGTACCAATCACAAACACAGCTTTTGTTTCTGATTCATTTCCACCCTGAAAATAACAGGGAGAAAGGTGATTAATTTATTAACTCTTTAATTCTCATGAGTGAACAAAAGCTGACAAGTAATGAGGATAAAGAAAACTAACAACTGGGGGATTATTTGTTAATTCAAAACCAACATCATAAGAGTTGTATGGCAGACAGGAATGAGAATTACTAATGAGATCTTTAGAAAAAAAGGTTAACGGAATATTTAGCAACAATAAGGTGAATGGAAACAAAATAGGTTAATAGGAGCAAGAGTTACGATAAACTGAAATTGATAAATTTGCCTGAAATTGGTGCATGATATATAGGTAATTAAAAAACCTACCATTTGATCAGAAATGAAGGGCCATAATTTCAAAATCTTTTCAATCGTTATCTAACATAAAAGCACAAAGTGGTTTAAACGGGCCAAGGAGAAATTACAAAACGGAAACTTGTTGGCAAGTGTAAGATTTCCATTAAAACAATTAAAGATGCTAGTATTGTTGACTTGCTAGCAAGATGAAGACAATCAAAAAAGTAATTTATGTATCGGTATCTCTTCGTTCTGAAGCTTAAGTAGTCCATAAAATTAAAATAATAAACACGCACGATCTCCGAAAATCTTTCACTCGTAATATCTCCTGTTATAACTCAATAAGCTAATGATCTTAATTGTTTCCTTTCTGGCCTTTCAATTAAGAATTTAAAAGTTAAAACAAGATATCTGTGAAAATCAAGACCAGTACTCACTCTTCCAGAAGAAATGTCGCAGACATTAAGCGCTCCTGCATCAATCAGATCTTGTAGATTACCACACCAGTGAGTCCATTCAGCTGTTCTACTATCAAGATAAACCAAGGCATTGTTGACAACAGTCAAAAGTTTTTGCCAGACTGATGTTATTCCACGTTCAAGTGCGCTTTTGGCCGCCATGTTTTCATTATTTGTTTACACCAGTCCCTCTCGTCATGCTAACCACAATCGAGATTTCGTGTTCAGGTCTCGCTCGGTATTAATGACGCACGAAATGATGGACACTAAAACTTCCCGCTTCAATATACTGGCTTCGAGACTATTCAAAGAAGATGCTGGAAAAATTTTGATCGTGGGTGGCGATTTTAATTGTTCGCTGACCAAAATTAACGAGAGATGTATAGCTTCTGGCGTAAATGCAACCCAATTTTTTAAGGACTTTACTTGATATAGAGAGTCTAGACCCGATGGAATGAGTCTTCAAAAATACAAAGTCGCCTTGACTCTCACCGGTAGATGGACCTTTTGATTTGCTCACGAAGAAGACCAATCTGCTTCGAAAACTCCTAGAGTTGCTGTATTTTTCTAAATAATACCGTGAGCTTTAATTAAATTCTTTCAAATCAGAAATTATTTGGTTAGGATGAAATGTTCAAAAAAGAAGACACGCCGTTTCATTTTCAGTTTTCGTTAAAAAGCTGTCGAATTTTCGGTCACAAAGGGATATTTCTATGCATGGTGGAGTAATTAAAGCAAAGGATTTAGTGATGGTTTCAAATGAGGCCTAAAGCTATCGTTTGAAAATAAGTTTCTTAGCTTTCGCTGATCCGCAGCATCATCGCCGTAGAAACTTATTTCTGAGACTGTTATAGAATTGTAACTATGAAGGTTTGTCTTGGCTTCTAGTTCTTGCATAATCCCTCACGCTAACCCTAACCCGATTCGCCCCTTGTCCTAGACCGCGAAAACAAATGGCTCGCTGATTTTACTTGGAAGGGAAAGTAACCGAAAGTAAAGTGAAAAATGTTGGTTGAGCTTTAAAAAGGAGGCTCGGAGTGTCAGAATACGAAATAACTTTGAATTTTTCACTATGTTCTTGGGCAAAGAGAATGGAAGGAATTGATTAAAACGATTAGATTACATTTACTCAGTTTTATTTCACTAGAGAAAGGAAGGTGAGAGGGTTTATTTGATTCTGTTAAGGTTTTAGACTTGGTCATGCCAGCTTGCCTGAAGGCCCTAACCTCGCTCAAGCAGATCCTTAATCAATTACGCCTTCGATACGACCAACTTTTTCGATGTTTCCCAAGCTCCTCGAAATTAAACCACCTCGTATGTGGATGAGGCAATGTTAACAAAGAAAAGCCCTTTATACCTACGATGTTTCCGTACTTTTAATTTTATTTTATAGAGGGCCACTGTGTCATCAGTTTTATTACTTTAGTGTGCTACTCTCTATAAATTAAGTTTTCTCTAATTTACTGTATCAGTATAAATATGCGGAGTGTCAGATGATTAATTTTGGCTTTGCCTCGATTAACTCGGAAAGGTCGGCGATCCAAGCTCTGAACATTGTTTTCTGTTAATATTCTTGGTATGCTCTCAATCATTGGCTATGGGTGCGTTGGTTGCGGAGAGATGTCCTAATAAGAATGACATCATATTCATTTCCGTCCCTTTTGCTGTGAGCGGCCTTGGGGCGAGTCGGGAATATTTAGGTGGTCAGTAAGAAACGTTTTTCTTCGCAAAAAAATGCAGAGCATTTCAATCAAAATAAGAAGCACGTAAGTTCCATTCGTTACGAGAAGAGCACGCAACCAGAAGGTCTTCTTCTTTGCCCGTGGATTGTGACACTCGAGCTCGAGTGGGATAATTCTGCGCTGATCATCTTCTCCTGTTGTTGAGCAATGAAATTTGGGGAGAATTTCGAAACGATAGAGCAACAGAGTTTGTAAGATAATAAACAATACCCCTATGACAAGCCTTATGGAAAGCTGATAACAGTAAGCAAGAAAAAGCTTGCGTCCCATTCTTTCTTTTTCGTCGTCGTGTGACTGTTTGCTGTTCTGTAACTGATCGACTATAGGACTCGCTATCTGGGCGTAAACTGCACAAACAAACCCCACAAGGAAGCAATGTACAATCACGAAGCCATAGACAGGGACACTATATTCGTTATACCGCCTCTCGTATAGCTCAAAACACTTTCCCCGGTAAAGTTCGCTGTTGTCGATGTCGTCGCTGCGTTCTGGAGCCCCACTGCAGTGAAAGTCAAACCTGGATTCCCTGTGTTCGATGTCCACAAAGACACCAGAAAGGGTTACTGCGAGTCCGAACCACAAGATAACTGCTACGTAACTTAGCAGGTTTAAGGTTTTCGGTCCTAGTATTTTTTTAAGAGCTTCAGCATCCATCGCTCCCGTTTGTTCGAGTAAGATTCTTCTTCACTCATTTGTCATCTGATGATGGTCAATAAAACGTGTGGTTTTCATATCACCTCTGATGCAGGGTTTATTTTAAGACATGCTTGAATATTATTGGTCGGTAGGAAAGAGAGTTGATTCACACAGGAACCCAATGTCAGAAACCGAAACTGGAAACTGAAATGAAAAAATAAAATAAGACACTAAAATAGATACCTGTATCTGCTGCTTGGGCAGAATTTTCGTCACTTGTTTACCTATATTATGGTGAGTCGCTGGAGAAGACGCTTTAAATTGTTATTGAATACTGAACAAGTATTATCATATCTCGCAATTAGTACTTGAGCAACCACCTCTAGTCATAATTCTTACATGGGCAGTAAAAGCCATCACAAAACTTCCGAAAATGAGATGAATACTCATAAAAAGGGAAAACTGTCTGAGAATATCTAATGACAGTTCTGAAGGACTGTAGAATTCCAGCAACCGGGTGCCCCTGATTTCAGTACTTTGGAGGAAAAACCGCTTATCGACCTTTCGTTCGATAAGAGACGAAAAATCAGTGGTATATTGTCTGTAATAGAGTACTGGCATTGTGAAGAAGCAATCTCGTCAATTTACGTTTTGGATAGGATAGATCTTCGTTCACGGAAAGTCGATGTCAGTGCGACTAGCGCAGCGGGATTGAAATCTGATTGATGTTTTCATTCAAACTGTTCTTATATTCCCTTTCTAAATTTCTCCATTCTGATTGGCTCAGAGAAATGCAGATTTCAGGAAATATACTGAACTAAGAAGAAAATTTAGTGCAGGAAAAAGCCTTAGGTAATTTAATGCAAAAATAGTAAAAAAAAGAAAAAGAAAAGGACAACATCAACAGGGCAATCTGATTGGTTGATAAACAAAGGCACTCACAAAGAACCAATCAAACATGAGCTCTGGATGACGCAAAGTTGCAAAGCGAGATACTTTCATGATAGATAGTATTTACGCCAAGTTTGAGCTAAATTAGTGATTTGAACATTACCACCCCCTGCCTGGTTTTCTCGTGGATACGCTCTTGATACATTAGCATAAGACTTCAAAACCATTATGTAATGATAGTGCTACTGAAGGACATCATACAACGATGCTAGAGGAAGTCGCTGTCGCAAACGATTTCGCCTAAAGTTTGCCGGGATGTGTTTTCTGGCTTAAATAGCACAATTGACAAGGCCACTTCACTAGAGATAACGAATTATCGTTGATAAACCCCAACGGCCAAGAGAGTCGGAACAGAATTTGAAAACCTTTTTTTTTTTTTAAGAGAACACATATACATGATTATTTAATTCATACTCGTAGTGAAGGTATAGAACACGTCGTTTGAAATACGAGTTTGCTACCACATTGAAATCACATCTAAGTTTTATTGTGTCTGATTCTACAATTAAAATGGTAGAGTTATTGTAAATATACAATTTATATATATTTATTTGTCTTATCTGCAGTCCTCAAACAATAAACTGAATATAAGCTGCTGAATGAGATTCTGTGTCACATTTCGTGGCATGTTTTTCCATTTTTCGCGATCTCTTCACCCGACGTCCTTTGTTTTCTTTCTCGACAAACATAACGTGAACGGAATCGTCAAATTTGATAGCCTTGTCTTTCTTAGAATAAACAGAGCGAATCTTGGCAACCGTATTTTCTAACTCGTTTTCAATGTGGAATAGATCTCTGTTTGTGAACCCGTAAATCAACTGCCACTCCTGGTTGATTCTTTTCAGTACCTCGGGATCAATGAGCGGTCCCTTTGCACGTCTCTCTTTTCTTTTCTCGCGCAGCATTTGTCGCCGTTTCTTCCTCAGTTCACGACCGTCACCTTCAGTAGCCTCCTTAACAGTGCTCGCTGAGCTCGCTGGGAGCCTATTGACTTGTGTGACAGGGCGTTTAGCGGCTGATTGCATTCTTTCTTGCGTGACACGATGGACGTAAAGAGGGATAACGGGACCAGGTGAGAAATCCAAACGGGCGCCATTCTTCTCAACTTTGTCATTTCGAAGCCAAACATAACTTTTTGTGTGTACTGCTACCAGTGACAATGCCAAAAGACTTCCACAAACAGTAAATATTGTAGGAAACAGGAAATCTGGAAAAAAAAATACCAAAGAGCCTGTTTATTTATGCATGATCACAAGTAAAATTAGGAGCAAATATATCTTCGTTGTGAAAAAAATTTAGTAAAGATAAACTTGATGAAAACCGAAACTATAGAGCAACAGCCTCGATTGCTTTTCTTTTTAAATTTGTTTGTTTGTTGTTTTTTTCTTTTTTCCTGGAACTCAGCGACAGAAAGAAAATAAAGGACAGTTTTTTCACTAAAAGTGCGTGCTGTGAAAATTATACGAGTGAAAAAAGGACCACCTTAAAAGACAAAATGCTTTGACAAAATGCTTTTCTCAACTTATAGTGCGGACCGAGAAAACAAGGTAAGTAAGGTATTTATTATATCTCTGGGTTCAAACAGAGGGGGAACGTTTAAATTCAAACGGGCCCCATAGTTAAATAAAACCCGCTAAATTGACTAATCATTGCGCACGTATTAAGATATGAAAACTATTTCTATATCTATTTAGGATTTTCTTACCACTGGCTGTTGTCAGATGCGTCAGATACCTAGCGTGACTGGGTAGGGAGTGGCTGAACTTAGCACTCCGCTCTCCAGTGGGACTTGCCGTTGCCAACAAAAAACAGATTAAAACGATCGTAACTTTCATCCCTCCTGTGGTAAAAAAAAAAACTCGCTCCTTTGAGTACAAACTTCCAGCGAATGAGCAATGAAAGATCTGATCATTTCTACTTTTAATCACAAATGTACTGTTCGTTTCCTCACCTTGTATAGGGCAAAAAATCCTTGTCAACCAATATTCGAAGCAACAACTCTAGTAACCTCTAAAAGCTGATTATTTTTCTTCGGTCAAACGTGCAACACGTCTCTTCTCTGCAAACGATGCTTTCCAATTGATGATCCGGTTTTCCTTTATGACGAGTCATTCCTGAATGTGACGTTTATCTTAATGTCGCGCGCGTCAATTTTGTCGCGCGCGCTAAGAGAACGAATTGACAACTGGGAAAGGAAGTACTGTAGAATCGAGCCCTAGAATCTTTTTCAGGAGAGCTTGGTGTATCCAGACCTTAATGTCTTAAAAACAGAGATAGCTGCCAGTTACGTCATGTTTCTGGCTTACAACATATCTGGGGGAATAGGTGCGAGAAAGATAGATACGAAAATCAAGAGGGAACCGCGGTATTGTTAGGGGTCTATTTGGCTGAGTAAAATACTAAGTATACTCCAGAGTAAAATTAATAACGTCTTAAAATTAACAGCGTCTTTAACTTTAACAAACGTTTACAAACTTAACGACTCTGTTTAAAGTACAGACGTCATAAGCTGTAAATCGCAATAAAAACTTATGAAATCGCCAAAAAATTTAAGTTCTTACTGAAATTAGAGACTTCTTAAATGCTATGATGGCATGATAAATGAAAATAATAATAATAATAATAGTAACATAACCTCTATGGCGCCGATACATTGCTGTTCTAAGCACTTTACACCCCTTTTCAAGATTTAGAATTTAGTACCAAAAAATTTAGTACCCAAATCTAACTGCTAGTAACCGCTTCTACATCTATCACCAAGACGCGTCAAAAATTAAATATAATGACATCTATTTTGAAATCACTGGTGATCCTTGGAATATGATTGGCTCTCATCGGTGTGATTTAGTCTCGAATCGCACCGTTTTTTGCCTGAATCGGATCTTTTTCCCAGCCAATAAAGAAGACTTAGTTTAACAAAACGACCCATCAGATTTCAAGGCTTGTTACGACGTCGTTAACCAACTTAACGACGTCAATAAAATTAATGACGTCTCAAAACTAACGACGTCTTAAAATTAATGACATTAATCTTATGATGTAAAAAAACTTTACAACGTTATTAACAGAGAAAGGCTAGTCAGCGGTGCTCACTCATAGGACAGAAATTACATATCTGAGCCTGCGCAACCGTAGAACAAAGCAAATCACAAGAAGCTTCTCACGAAGTTAATTTATTTCAAATGATTCCTACAGAGCCTGAAATAATGTTGAAGTTTCGAAAGATCATGAAAAGCTTGGTAAGTCAGTCAACGTGACACCTGACTGCTGTATCACATGGTTGGCAGCATAGTGACCGCAGCGGACACATTCATCAATTGGCTTTCCTTGGGCGAGCTGGCTAAGAAAACCTGCAAGAAAATCTTGCTTTGAAATTCTTAATTCTTCATAAATAGAGAAGTTCTGTAATCGTTGTACAGAACAATCAGTTTACACATTGACATAAATTCTCTTGTAAAGCTATCTCTCGAAAAGCCAGGTTTCAAAGTTAGTTGCGGAGGTTTATCTAACTTTAGTAAATTTAAATCCATAACAAAGCAAAACAAAAGTAAATCGACCCTAAATTTTGAAAGTCAGAAAACGTATGAAAAATTGAATTAGAAGCTTAAAACTTTAGTTAAGGTTTAGGCTTCTTTCCAAAGTTGAATAGTACTAAAATGCAAAGCCCTTTATCAAATGGGTGTGAGCAAGCATTACACATGGAAATGATGGACAGAGGACAGAATTTTTCATTCTAGTAAACAAGGGGGCAGAGCTGAAGAAAGAATGAACATGGAGCTCAGCTGAAGTTTTGATATATAGTAGCTAAACGTTCGTCTTTTGCGCAGTCGTTGTTTTGTTTAGTTAACATAACTCGTTCCCAGTGCTCTCCCCCTTGCGTAGCCAGACTAAACAACGGCGGTAAAGAGGACTAACTACGTCTAAGCGATCTCACCTCCTACAAAGGCGTCACCAGCTCCGTTTGTATCTACGATATCTTCCTCTTTGATCACTATCACTGGGTATTCTGTGACTTTACCATCTGAAACCAGGTCAAACGAAGGTTAACCAGTCGACAAACCGCAGTTTTGGGTATCTTAGAAAGTTTGACGCGTTATTTGCATTCCGCGTCAATCTTCTACATTTCTTTCCTTTTTTTTTTTTTTTAGCATTTTGCCAGCCTGAGGCAAATTCCTGGAAGGGCTGCTAAAGCTTGTATGTTCTCCTTCAATATGGGGGTTTTAAAAGTTTTGAAAATTCTATAATAAAACTATCAGCTAAAGAAAGAAAATGGAATGGTTAGGGAGCCAGAACCTGCTTTTCTATTCTTTAAACTTTGATTTAAAAAAATTGGCTTCGCGCCCGTTCAGTTACCGAGACTTTCGAGAAACGGCGACGATATTTCAATAACCGCGGAGATAAAGGGACTAAGGCAAATGAACCCTAGTCCTTCTCAGTCGTATTTCCACGTGGCTTGAGCGAGGTATTCTTTGACAATTTGAAAAACTACGGGATTGTGACCTACACAGTCTACATTGCTTTAGCTTTGGGAAACAACACTAACTTAGTACAAGTAACTAGAAGCCAACGATCTCGGATTACTCCTACTCTGAAAATAGAGCGCGGCCAATCAGAAGAAAGGAAATTATTTACTAGAGCGGGAAAGCGCGGGCAACCAAGTTGTGATTAATTTACAAATTAATAAAGGGAGTAAATTTCTAAAGAAACCGCGCTGCTGCGTCGGTGGAGGAGTATAACTAGATAATTTGTATTAAAAACTGAGTTGATAACGTGTACTGGCCACCGTAAAAAGTTTCTAAAGCTGAACGTCACCCCTCCATCAGAGCAGAGGGCCAACGCTCGAAACGTCAACTTTAGAAACTATTGACTGTGGCCAATCTACATCTGATTGGTTGAGAAAGTGGCGCGAGTTTTATGGACCAATCACAGAGTTCTACTTGCTATTGTTTATGTACTTTGGTAAGTAAAATTTTGAGATTTGGACGGTGCGTTACATAGTATGTTCGTACCTCTAACAACGAGAGTCGGTTCCTTTCCGTGGGTTATCACCACGATTCGCGGGCGGTCTTTGTTAACTTTCTCAAGTGCTGCTATTTTAATCGCAATTTCTTTCAAGTCTTCTGTCTGTTGATAACACAAGAAATGATCATTGTTTGACCTGTGCGCAGTTTAGGCCAGGTTTTCAGATCGAAGGGTGTGGGCAATTTGAGGTGAGGCACACGCCAAAAAAGGAATAGAGGCAAAAACGTGCGGAAATAGGATGACTTCCCTAAACGCTCGCTCCTACAATAAGTTGCGCCAGATCTATTACGTAACAAACGTAATCCAAGTTTCCCTCCCAACTGATCGCAAGATAGGACTACAGAGCCTAAGAAATCTCCATCGCCTCCATTGATCGTGTCGGGCCCCTGTCGCTGAAGATCAATTTCTGTTAAACTATCAATCCATTCTCAGGATAGTCTGCACAAAAGCGTCCTATTGGATCGCACTAGCAAGGTATGCACCAATTCCTAATCCTTTGCAGCCTGAAACTTACTTGGAGGAAAGTATTGTCAGTGGTGGTGAAAAAGAGTGACACATACGTTAAAAACACTTTCGCACTTACTCCAAGTTCTTGCTCTTTGGCGAAAATACCAGCTTCCTGCAAGAGGAAGAAAGTTAAATTTCATGAGTTTTAGTTGCGAAATACATTTTTTTCCAAAGGCAGGGAAAATGCCAGATAATTTGTCATACTCATTTTCTTCGGTAACACTTAAATCACAGATTACAACTGGGTACACAAAGAAAAGCAACAGGAAAACAAAGTGTAAGGATGAAAGGAGATGACAGGCATACTCTAAGAAAAAGAAATCTGAGTGCTCCAAACAGGAGTCGAAGCTATGACCTTCCGATTTGTACTTCGGATTCTGCACCACTGAGCGATAGGAGAATCGTTGCAGGCTAGGCCGTTCAACTAGGGATCCATGGTGAAAAACTTCAACATAATGCTAGGATAGGAATGTCGATATGTGATGCTAATGCGCAATGATTATGCAAATGAAGATGGTGAATTTTATGCCTAGTGTGAAGTGAAAGAAAATGTCATTCAGTGAACAGCACTGGCATACTCGAAGAAAAAATAACTCCGATTGTTACCAATAGGAGTGTAACGATGGTTTCCACCGGGTCCGCGGCGATTAAGTCAACATGTAACTCGAAGTTTCTAGTGAAGAAATTTCAGGAAAAGGCAAAATAACTTAAATTTGTATTTTTATACGTATGGACACACGAAGATCGTTTAGAAATTGGAGTAAAAGCCCGAAGAACATGTTCAATTTGGTAGTACTTCGCAGCCCTTACAACAAAAAGGATCTCTTTTCTATTATTGAACGAAAAAGGCTGGTTAAGGGGTCCAAGGACTTAATGCACTTACTGTCTCATTTCCAAACAGAATGTCCACATATGGTAGTGCGTCCATCATTGGTTTTTTGAAGACCTGACATAGGAATGGTGCGGACAGGTTCATTGTGAAGATCTACAATTCAGAGAAAATAAAATTAGTTCTTAACTCACAAATAAATGATCACATGTAGGTCAACATTTCGGATGACAAAAAATAACGGATGTTCCTCACAGGTGAACTGAAATTGGAAAAAATGCACAACATGATTAAGCCTGAAAATTTTACGCTCTGGAGGAGTTCAATTCTATGGCACCCAGATAATGGTTACCAAACCACATCTTGGGTTCAAAGCACAATTAACCCATTAACTCCCAAGATCTCACTAGTAATTCTCCTTACTGTCTGCCACACAGTTCTTGTGATGTTAGTTTGGAGAATTAATTGTTGGATCAC